TTACGCTGATTTCAAAATGGCGTGATTCATGATTCCTAGGGAATAGGGTGTCATGTTGGACACAGACATACTGGCAGAGGTAGAGATGCATTCAACCGCTGTCTGTTGTCAGCGTTTATGAGTTGTGCAGCCTTGTTGGCTTTAGTGTTGTAAACCGACTGTTGGATGTTGAGCTGTGTTCACTAACAGAAGTGTTGCATTGTGTTGTGCAGCCTTGTTAGTCAGTGTTGTAAACTGACTTTTAGTGGATGTTGAGTTGCATTCACAAACAGTGTTGTGTTGTGTTCAGTTGCATTTACTAACAGAAGTGTTGTGTTGAGTTGCATTCACTAACAGTGTTGTGTTATGTTGCATTCACTAACAGTGTTGTGTTGAGTTGCATTTACTAACAGAAGTGTTGTGTTGAGTTGCATTCACTAACAGTGTTGTGTTGAGTTGCATTCACTAACAGTGTTGTGTTGTGTTCAGTTGCATTTACTACTTTTAGTGGATGTTGAGTTGCATTCACTAACAGTGTTGTGTTGAGTTGCATTCACTAACAGTGTTCTGTTGTGTTGCGTTCACCAACAGTGTTCTGTTGAGTTGCAGTCACTTACAGTGTTGTTTTTTGTTGAGTTGCATTCACTAACAGTGTTGTGTTGCATTCACCAACAGTGTTCTGTTGAGTTGCAGTCACTTACAGTGTTGTGTTTTGTTGAGTTGCATTCACTAACAGTGTTGTGTTGCATTCACTAACAGTGTTGTGTTGAGTTGCATTCACTAACAGTGTTCTGTTGTGTTGCGTTCACCAACAGTGTTCTGTTGAGTTGCAGTCACTTACAGTGTTGTGTTTTGTTGAGTTGCATTCACTAACAGTGTTGTGTTGCATTCACTAACAGTGTTGTGTTGAGTTGCATTCACTAACAGTGTTGTGTTGAGCTGCATTCACTAACAGTGTTGAGTTGAGTTGCATTCACTAACAGTGTTGTGTTTTGTAGACTTTCATTCACTAACAGTGTTGTGTTGTGTTACGTTGCATTTAGTAACAGTGTTGTATTGAGCTGTGTTCACCAACAGAAGTGTTGCATTGTGTTTGTCTACCTGTTGTGCAGCTTTGTTGGTCAGTGTTGTAAACTGACTTTTAGTGGATGTTGAGTTGCATTCACTAACAGTGTTGTGTTGTGTTGCGTTCACCAACAGTGTTCTGTTGAGTTGCAGTCACTTACAGTGTTGTGTTTTGTTGAGTTGCATTCACTAACAGTGTTGTGTGGCATTCACTAACAGTGTTGTGTTGTGTTATGTTGCATTCACTAACAGTGTTGAGTTGAGTTGCATTTACTAACAGAAGTGTTGTGTTGTGTTGAGTTGCATTCACTAACAGTGTTGTGTTGAGTTGCATTCACTAACAGTGTTGTGTTGAGTTGCAGTCACTAACAGTGTTGTGTTGTGTTATGTTGCATTCACTAACAGTGTTGTGTTGTGTTGCATTCACTAACAGTGTTGTGTTGTTTTGAGCTGTGTTCACTAACAGTGTTGTGTTGTGTTGCGTGGCATCCACTAACAGTGTTGTGTTGAGCTGCGTTCACTAACAGTGTTGTGTTGTGTTGAGTTGCGTTCACTAACAGCGGTGTTGTGGTTGTGTTTGTCTACCTGTTGTGCAGCCTTGTTGGCCACTGTTGTAAACTCCTGAGATAGTCCCTTCAGCCCGTCTCTGTCTCTGCCACACACTGCCTGCAGTCTCCACTAGGGGGACAGGGAAGGCATCCAAACCTAACCCACACACGCACACAGGCGCACAAACACACACACGCACGCATATACCAACAAACGCAAGCACACACACACACACACAACAAATATAAACAATCTATTGAACACAGCCCAACCCAGATGATAGATGTCCTAGATAGTAAGGACAGCTCTATATAGAGTAACGAGCGACCCAGAGAGAGAGAGAGATATAGATGTCCTAGATAGAGGAGGAGATCAAGGAAGCGCTGAGAGAGAGAGAGAGAGAGAGAGAGAGAGAGAGAGAGAGAGAGAATCCTAAATGACTGTTGATTGTTATCAGCAGCATCAACAGGAGTCCTGCAACACACTACAAGACTTCAACTGACAGAGATCAATTAACTCAACTTCATTATTATTAGACATTTTAATAATCATATGTAATCTTTGACTTGGAACCATTACGTTTATCTAGTTTTAATGTGGCTGTTACGGTTGGACTGAAGCCATAATATAACTTAATATTAATACAATGAGAATGGTTGTGAACTGGTAAAACAGTAATATAACTTCATATTAATAGAATGGTTGTGAACTGGTAAATATAATGTGTCCTTAGAGTGTCTGGTTTTAGTTAAAGACATTCCACAGTCATTACAACATGAACTATGTGGGGTCCTGTAACTACTCAAAACACACACACACACACACACACACACACACACACACACACACACACACACACACACACACACACACACACAGGGGGGATGCAAAACACTAATAAAAAACAGCACCTAAACATTACCAGCTGGGGGAGAGATAGAGAGAGAGAGAGAGAGAGAGAGAGAGAGAGAGAAGAGAGAGAGAGAGAGAGAGCGAGGGAGAGAGAGCGAGGAAGAGAGAAAGAGAGAGAGAGAGACAGAGAGAGAGAGAGAGAGAAGAGGGAGAGAGAGAGAGAGACAGAGGGAAGAGAGGAGAGAGAGAGAGAGAGAGAGAGAGAGAGAGAGAGAGGAGAGAGAGAGAGAGAGAGAGAGACAGTCTATTGTTCTTCTGAAAGGACCTTGGATACATTATTGTGAAAACTCATTCAGTTTCTTCACTAACTAAAAGCAAGAGAGAAGGAGAGGAGAGGAGCACACCTACATCCTCAAGCACAAACACACTGACCGCTCCGTTGGCGCAGAGGAAGATTGTGACCAGCTCGTCCCGACACAGGAAGGGGTGCTGCGTTACCATGGCAACAAACCTCTGTAGGCCACGCCTCCTAACCTCCATAAACTCCTTGTCAGATACAGAGGTCGAGAGAGAGAGAGAGAGAGAGAGAGAGAGAGAGGGATGATGAGTAATGAGGATGAGTAGGTGAAAGGTCTGTCTCCATCTAAACACATCTCAAGTTGCAATGTATATGTGTGTGTGTGTGTGTGTGTTTGTGTGTTTGTGTGTGTTTGTGGGTGTGTACCTCCTTTAAGCACCCTCTTGGGTGGTAGCAGAGGAACCATCCTGTAGACAAACCTCTGCAGAATCAGCTCATGGAACACAACAAAGTCACTGTAGCGCCGATACACTGGCAGCTTGAAACGCTGTGAGGACACACACACACACACACACACACACACACACACACACTAGCCCTTATCATGACTCCATTACATTACATTGGGTCTCTAGACGTCCTTTAATGTGTATGTGTATACATCTACATGAAATAGACATGAAAGGCTTGTTGTGGTATTCATATAATTACCTGATACTCGTCTGTCCACTGAGATCCCACACCTGGAACTTCAGGTTCTTGTACGTCACCATCTACAAGTTGAAGCCATCACTGTACAACACAATAGGAGAGATGGAACACCTCGAGCACATGTCAACCGTCCCTCTATTTATGACCTTGGCTACAAACATGTAGAAAGACCCATTATGATTCTCCCTGTATACACCTGGAAACTAGGCAACATAACGTGAGTGAACCGTCTTTCCAAGTAGAAATAAATGCTTTACGTACTGGGAATGGTGGGGACCACCTCTCGGACCTGCAGGTGGTCCAGGATGGTCGTTTTACCGGCTCCGTCCAGCTCTAGGATCAGAATCCTCATCTCTCTGGTACCGAACAGGGAAGAGAAGAGACTGGAGAACCACCCACCTACAGCACGTTGACATGAGATGAGTCACACAGACAGTCAGTAAGAAGTGCTAGTAGTTTTACTAATGCTACTGTAGCGATTGAGGGGGAACCGTTGAACCAGCAACCCTGTGGTTACAGCGTAAGCACACGAGCTAATAACTATATCAGTATCTTTGGCTATATCCTGTTCTGTCTGTGCCATAAAGGTCCAGACCTCTTGGTAGAGGTCAAACAAGCATACAGGGAGGCTAGGGTTACCATGTGTCTCTGACACATTCAGAGTCACATTCCTGCCTTTGAACAGTAAATAGCTAGCTAGCTGGGTTAGCACACAAATTAGCTAACATTCAGATATCAAAGCCAGTTTCAGCAACATATGATGCCATGCATTTCTATCACAAGCTTCAGAGCTGACAGAAAAGTTGGCATGAAATAGCAAATGACTTGACAGATAAAGTGCCACAGCTTTACTATGAAATAAATACACAAACTATGTATACACACAATAACACCCTTTAGTTAGGCTAGTCAGTGAGTACGTTTACATGCACAATAATAATTCGATATTAAACTGATTGTGTGTATTTGTCTGAACAGTGAAAACCATAGAAGAAGCACTCGATCATCGGCCTGCGCAAAATCTGCGCAGCAAAGACGCTCATAAACGAACATCAACGTATTGCTGCTCTGCTACAAATGTTTCTTGTTGCTAGACTACTGATGCCACAGAGATAGCCAGAGCTGAGAAACAACATCAAAAGAATTATGATACAACGCTAACCGCCGCAAATTATATTTCCATTTCTACATCGTGTATTTCAAGCAACAGTGTAATACGAGAGATTGTCGGTGTCTGCTGTGCTCGTACGAAATCTAAAACAATTGCTTAGGGTAGGCTATAGCTGCTAGGCTATTGTTGATTTCGTATCGTTTTGAGGACAGGCATTTGATTATGTTTTGATCTCAAAGTAAGAGATGTTTTTTTTCTTCAATTTCTACCAAATGCTTGTTTTTCCACAGCTATAGCTAAGGCAAAACTGTCAACATAGAACTTGCGAAATGAAGCATCGAAAAATGACAAGAACACGCAAAGAGAGGTTCTACAACTGTCCAATTGCTCCAAAGAGAGACTAGTTTATCATTTTATCTATTGCCAACTTCAACGATGTCTCTCGTGGCCAGCGATATCCCAACGGACGAAGACTTAGAAGATCTGGTGAGTCAACAACAGCGAGGCTCAATTTTTCCACAGCCAATGTGTTGTTTTACGCCATCACTGTTTTAGTTTGCTACTGTAATACTACTTCTGTAGACTGTATTACTGTTTTGTGACATCACTGTAACAGCTGCAGTTACTGTATTGCTACTCTATTAGCCTACTATAAGTTGTATAGACTTAACTAACTAATTATCCTCTTCTTGTTTCCAAGGTTGAGGATGGACTTTCTCTTGCAACCTACATATCAGACTCTGGAAAGGTGAGATGACTTCCTGTCCGCTCGTGTATTTCTCTCTGTGTGTGTGTGTGTGTGTGTCTGTGTTCTCCTAACCCTTGTTTGTGTTTCAACAGAAAGCCAGGAAAAAGAAGCCATCTGGTAAACCCCCCACTTCTCCCAGTAAGACCAGCTATCATCTACAATAGATCTGACTTTGAGAATCAAGTTTCAATTCAACTCCATTGCTTTCACCACCCTAACTTTGTTGTCTGTCCGTGTGTGCGTCTGTCCGTGTGTGCGTCTGTCCGTGTGCGCGTGTGCGCGTGTGTGTGTGTGTGTGTGTGTGTGTGCAGGGTCTCCGTATCTCTCCAGTATGGATGTGAACCCGAGGAGATCAGCGGTGTCAGCCTGGAGGCCCCTGAGAGGGACACTGGGGGAGACCCTAGGGGGGAGAGGTGACACTGTGGGGGAGAGGGGTGAGACAGCTCGGACCCCCGGAGAGAACTGTCTGGCTTCGCTAAGCAACGGGCACGGTGGGTACCATGGAAATAGAAACAGAACTTTACCACCATAGAAACCAGTGCTTTACATACCAATGTGCCTGTACTACAGAGAGAGAAGTCCATACCTAAACCTCCACAGGGACACACACATAGTTATTCAGCTAGTGTTATTGTCTTGTTGCTTGTTATTCCAGCTGACAGCTTGGAGTGTTTTGTTGTCCCCTAGTGATATGCCTTGCTCAGAGGGGAACCATGTCTTACAACATCATTCACTATAGGTCTACCATTGTATTAAAAAATATGGGGTTAATCCTCGAGGGGAAAAGAGAAGAGGACGAGGAGAGCGAAAGACAGGAAAGAATGTAACGATAAGAGACAGAGCAAAAAGAAAAAAAAAGGTGAAGAAAGAAGGAAGAAGTGAAGGAGGAAGGAAAGGAAGAGGAAGGAAGGAAGGAAGGGAGGCATGCAAGGGAAGGAATGAGAGAAGGAAGGAAGGAAGCGTGTCTCTCAGGAGAGCTCGACTCGAGTACCGAGAGAGATCTAGATCGCTATCGTGCGATCGTCTCTCTCTCTCAGCATCTCTCTCTCTCCGCTCCTCTCTCTCTCTCTCTCTCTCTCTTCTCTTCCTCTAGGTCTGTCCCAGTCTCTGAGAGGGGGCTTTGACATAACACACACCTCAGCCCGGCTCTCCTCTTCTCCCTGCAGCTCCAGAGTATCTCCAACAGGCTCTGGGCATTAAGAAACACAAACACTCACGCTCCTCATCCAACGGGTGTGCTGCGTGTGTGGTTGTGTACCTGTGTTCTATTCTGTGTGTGTGTTGTACCTGTGTTCTATTCTGTGTGTGTGTGTACCTGTGTTCTATTGTGTGTGTGTGTACCTGTGTTCTGTTTTGTGTGTGTACCTGTGTTATATTCTGTGTGTGTGTGTGTACCTGTGTTCTATTGTGTGTGTGTTCCATTCTACGTGTATGTAACAGTTATTCTCCACCAGACTACAGAGAGAAGGAGGACATGTATGATGAGATCATCCACCTCAAGAAGGTAAAGAACCACACACAAGTTATTTCAGAATATTTAGGTAAGTTAGCAGGCTAACTCATTGATCCTGCTTTGTAGTAGGTGTTGGACATTTAGAACATTCTAGCTAATGCCTTTAGTCATGAATTCAGATGAATTGATCAGGTCTGTCTGTTCCTCTCTAAGAGTCTTCAGGCCCAGAAGTCAGAGAAGGATAGGATGAAAGCCAAACTACGGCGTCTGGAAGAGGACAAAACTAAGAAAGACAAACAGATAGAACAGCTCCTGGATCCCACCAAGGTAACAACCACCAGCAGCATCACCTCAGATCATAGTGACTCCATGGAGGTCCCTGTAGCAGCTCAGATCATAGTGACTCCATGGAGGTCCCTGTAGCAGCTCTGATCATAGTGACTCCATGGAGGTCCCTGTAGCAGCTCTGATCATAGTGATTCCATGGAGGTCCCTGTAGCAGCTCTGATCATAGTGACTCCATGGAGGTCCCTGTAGCAGCTCTGATCATAGTGACTCCATGGAGGTCCCTGTAGCAGCTCTGATCATAGTGACTCCATGGAGGTCCCTGTAGCAGCTCTGATCATAGTGACTCCATGGAGGTCCCTGTAGCAGCTCTGATCATAGTGACTCCATGGAGGTCCCTGTAGCAGCTCTGAGCCTGTTGTTTTCCCTCCACAGGGACCGGAGTACACACTGAGTCTGGTGGACAAGAAAAACCAGGGGAGCCTGGTAAGTGTGTGGTGTGTGTCTGTGTGTGTGTTGTAGAAAGGTGTTGATTGACATGTCCTGTCCTGCAGATTGTTAACGGACTAAAACAGAGAATCCTGAAGCTGGAACAGCAGTGTACAGAGAAAGAGAACACTGTGACGTAAGTCTGCCTGCCTGTCTGTCTCTGCCTGTCTCTGTCTGTCTGTCTCTGCCTGTCTCTGTCTGTCTGTCTCTGCCTGCCTGCCTGTCTATCTCTGCCTGCCGGTCTCTGTCTGTCTCTGCCTGCCTGTCTCTGCCTGTCTCTGCCTGCCTGTCTCTGCATGTCTCTGCCTGCCTGTCTCTGCATGTCTCTGCCTGCCTCTGCCTGCCGGTCTCTGCCTGTCTCTGCCTGCCTGTCTCTGCCTGTCTATCTCTGCCTGCCGGTCTCTGCCTGTCTCTGCCTGCCTGTCTCTGTCATGTCTCTGCTGCCTCTGCCTGCCGTTCTGTCCTGCGTCTCTGCTGTCCTGTCTCTGCCATGTCTTGCCTGCTTTCTTGCGTCATGTCTCTGCCTGCCTGCTGCGTCTTCTGCTGTCTCTGCCCTGCTCTGTTCTCTGCCTGTCTACCTGCCTCGGCTGCCTTCTCTGCGCTGCTGAGTCCTGTGCTGTCCCCTGTCTCTGTCTGTCTGTCTGTCTGTCTGCCTGTCTGTCTCTATCTCTCTCTATTTATTTATTATACATTTTGCAGGATGAAATCTCTTGAGATGCACCATCTAGCTTTAAAGTGTGTCCAAATAAAAACACACACTGAGTGGACAAAACATTAGGAACACCTTCCTGATATTGAGTTACACCCCCTTTTGCCCTCAGAAGAGCCTCAATTCGTTGGGGCATGGACTCTACAAGGTGTCGAAAGCATTCCACAGGGATGCTGCCCCATGTTGACTCCAATGCTTCCCACAGTTGTGTCAAGTTGGCTGGATGTCCTTTGGGATGGTGGACCATTCTTGATACACACGGGAAACTGTTGAGCGTGAAAAACCCAGCAGTGTTGCAGTTCTTGACTCAAACCGGTGCGCCTGGTACCTACTACCATACCCCGTTCAAAGGCACTTAAATATTTTGCCTTGCCCATTCACCCTCTGAATGGCACACATACACAATCCATGTCTCAATTGTCTCAAGGCTTAAAAAATCCTCCCCTTCATCTACACTGATTTGAAGTGGATTTAACAGGTGGGATCAGTAAGGGATCATAGCTTTCACCTGGATTCATCTGGTCATGGAAAGAGCAGGTGTTCATAATGTTTTGTACACTCAGTGTATATCACTAAAGTATAATATTTTCTGTATGGTTTTAGTTGATTATAAAATCCAAGATGAGTAGTATCATCTTCATACTGTCATTTCCTGTTGTGACAGTAAACTGCAGAGTGAGCTGAAGACCACTAATCTGGAGGAGTTGAAGATCACAGTGGAGACCTACTTTGAGGAGGTAAATCTCTGCTCTCTGTGCTAGTGCAGTTAGATGTTTTATTTGTATTTGAACGTGACCTTTTCTGGTCCTAACGTGTGTGTGTGTGTGTTCTCCAGATTCAGAGACTGCGGATGATATTGGACGCAACAGAGAAAAGGTACAGAAAGTTTACATTTTAGTAATTTAGCAGATGCTCTTATCTAGAGTAACTTACAAGAGCAATTATGGTTAAGTGCCTTGCTCAAGGGCACATTGGCAGATTTTTTTCACAGAGTCGGCTTGGGTATTCGAACCAGCGACCTTTCTGTTACTGGCCCAACGCTCTTAACCGCTAGGCTACCTGCCGTCCCATTCACAGACTTGTTCACTTACATTTTCGGTTCAATCTCATACCCTCTTCTCTCTCTCTCTCTCCTCTCGCTCTCCCTCCCCCCTCTCTCCCTCCCCCCTCTCTCCCTCCCCCCTCGCTCTTCTCTCCCTCTGTAGTAGTAGAGCAGAGAGTAAAGGTTCTCAGAGGCAGCAGAAGGTTCTAAGCTCTACGGTTCTGCGTCTATCAGAGAACATTAAACAGCTACAGCAGGAGAACCACACACTGAGAGAGGAACTGAACACAGACAGCCCAGCCAGTGGGCTGAAAGGTACACATACACACTCTGAGAGAGGAAATCGACACAACACAGCGGGGTCAAAGGTTAAATAACAAATGGCCCATTCTCCTGTATTCCTAGTATTTCTATTGGATGATATGTTGTACTTGTGTTTCAGCCTACAAAGACTGGAGCAAACAGAGACTATTGAGGAGACTGGTGGAACTGGAGAGGGTGAGTGGATGGGGCCTTTCTCCTTCACTCAACACTTATTCTCCTCCTCAGTTTCCTGGTTTGTCCTACACAGTGGAATGGAGGGAATAACCTAGGCTTTAGCTCAGGGGGATAACACAGTCTTGTGGCTCACACACACACGCACACACACGTTAACCCTACCTGTCCCTTCCTGTGTTAGAGGTTAGAGGAGGTGAGGAGAGCCCCAGGCAGGAGGAATGGAGTGGAAAGAGCAGTCCAGAACGTTAACCCTACCTGTCCCTTCCTGTGTTAGAGGTTAGAGGAGGTGAGGAGAGCCCCAGGCAGGAGGAGTGGAGTGGACAGAGCAGTCCAGAACGTTAACCCTACCTGTCCCTTCCTGTGTTAGAGGTTAGAGGAGGTGAGGAGAGCCCCAGGCAGGAGGAGTGGAGTGGACAGAGCAGTCCAGACTGACCACCAGACCACACCCACGGAGACAGAGGTTGCTACGCCGCCGGGGATAACCACCGTAGCAATGGAAGGGGGCGTTGCCGTGGTAAACACCCAACAGGAAGGGGAGGGATTTGTCCGTCTGAAGGGGTGTGTCAGCCAACTGGAGCAGGATAAGGCGGAGCTACAGGAGACGCTGACCAATAGAGAGTAAGAGAGACACTACTATGACTACAGCAATGCAGTATGGGAAATTGAAATTGGAAATCGCCAGTAATTGCAATAGAATGTTTGATATTGAGTTATTGGTATTATGATGGTGTTCTTAGTATTGAGAATATGTTTAGAGCGTTCTCAGAGTGTTTGGAATCTTCTGTTTTCAGACAGGAGGTGAAACGACTGATCGCTGAGTCTTCTGTTTTCAGGGAGGAGGTGAAACGACTGATCGCTGAGTCTTCTGTTTTCAGGGAGGAGGTGAAACGACTGATCGCTGAATCTTCTGTTTTCAGGGAGGAGGTGAAACGACTGATCGCTGAGTCTTCTGTTTTCAGGGAGGAGGTGAAACGACTGATCGCTGAATCTTCTGTTTTCAGAGAGGAGGTGAAACGACTGATCGCTGAGTCTTCTGTTTTCAGAGAGGAGGTGAAACGACTGATCGCTGAATCTTCTGTTTTCAGAGAGGAGGTGAAACGACTGATCGCTGAGTCTTCTGTTTTCAGAGAGGAGGTGAAACGACTGATCGCTGAGTCTTCTGTTTTCAGAGAGGAGGTGAAACGACTGATCACTGAGTCTTCTGTTTTCAGAGAGGAGGTGAAACGACTGATCGCTGAAAGAGAGCAGGAAGAGGAAGAGATGGAGAGGAGGCAGAATGAACAAAGGAGTGAACATGAGAAGGAAGCACAACTCTACCAGTATGTATCTCCCAGTTCAACCTGAACTTCCTGACTGGTGAATACACTATTACACAATCAATGGTGTTTACAGCTTGTATTTAAATACCGTATTAAGATCAAATATTAAATAATTACTACTTTATCTATTTACAACAGGCTTATAACCACTGTGACATGCCCACAGAGGTTGTATGGAAACTTCTTCTCTCTGTGTGTCTGTGCCATAAAGTTTCCATGGAAACTTCACCTTTCTACTTGTCTAATTTCTCCTTGTCCAGACTGGAGATAGAACAGCTGACAGTGAAGATACAATCTCTGGAGGAAGAGAAGAAGAGATGGACTGAAGAAGAAGAGAGAGAGCGGGAGGAACAGAACCAGGTGAACCGGAAGGAGAACCCAGAAGAGAGGGAGGAGAAGGAAAGAGAGGAGAGAGAGAGGGCAGCTAGGGTGATCCAGAGAGAGTGGCTGGAGCACAGAGAAAAGGTAACTCACTAACTAACTAACCAGAAACAGAGTGGAGCACAGAGAAAGGGTAACTCACTAACTAACTAACCAGAAACAGACATTTTAAATAATCTGTTGTACCTGCCAGCTGCCACTACAGAACTGGAATTACTTTTGAAGGGGAATGAAGACAAATGTCCATCTCCCCCCAGGACACAGTGTTGGTCCAGTCAGCAATAAGAGGACATCTCCTCAGACAGAGCCATCTAGCTCACCTCCGAGACACACACACCAGCACTCACAGCAAGGTAACACACCACATACACACACACACACACATCTGCAATGTTGTAGTTCAACCAAATAGCCACTTAGTGGCACTGTTGTACCGTATTTAAAATGGGTATCTATTGAGTTGAGTGAAAATGCCCTAATTAGGCTCTGATCTAAGAGTTACTGTTTAATGTTTCATTTCCAGAGCGGCCAATCAGAGCGCGGCAGTGATGTTACTTCCTGTGTGGAGGGTGATGGGGAGCTGGATGCCTTGACGCTGATCCAGTCTGTGTTCCGAGGTCACCTGACACGCAGCGCACTAATGACGGAGAGGTGACACACACCACACACACACACACACACACCACACACACACACCACACACCACACAGACACACCACACAGACACACACACCACACAGACACACACACACACACACATACACCACACACACACACACACCACACAGACACCACACACACACACACACACAGACACACACCACACACACACACACACACCACACACACACACACACACACACCACACACACACACACACACCACACAGACACCACACACACCACACATTTATAATAATATAATAATAATATGCCATTTAGCAGACGCTTTTATCCAAAGCGACTTACAGTCATGCGTGCATACATTTTTGTGTATGGGTGGTCCCGGGGTTCGAACCCACTACCTTGGCGTTACAAGCGCCGTGCTCTACCAGCTGAGCTACAGAGGACCACATATTGGGAAGTGTCAGTTTTTTAAATTGTATGTATAACTGTCTGTTTGTAGCTCAGAGTCTCCAGCCCTTCCTCCCTGTGGGCCCACCCCAGCCCCTAGAAGAGTCCCCTCTGTCCCTACAACACACACTCACAGCAACACAGGTGAGACACACACACTGAATCTGACACCTTGGTGGCACAGTGCTGACTGAAGGACAAATCAGGAATGTAATATGTGTGTGTGTGTGTGTGTTAGCCCCTCCAGGCAGTGATGAAGATGTAACAGAGCTGAGTGAGGAAGATCCCTGGCCTGTCTCGAACACACTGTCCAACACGAGGAGACTCACACCAGGTACGGAGTGTTTGTGTCTTTCTCTGTGTGTGTGTGTGTGTGTGTGTGTGTGTGTGTGTGTGTGTATGTGTAATATGTGTTCCTGTGCTTCGCCTGTAGCCCAACTACAGCTCCACCCACCTCCAGACTCCAAGGTTGCCAAGGTGATGGACTCTGAGGATTCCGACGATGACATCATCGTGTCTCCGTCTCGTTTCGTGAGGAGAGAGGAAATCTACTTCTAGACCAGAGCATTGCACTATGGGATATGTAGTGTGTGTGTGTGTGTAGCTGTGTGTGCAGGGTTTTGCTCTAGCCCTACAGGAACACCAGATTCAGTCAAGGTTCAGAGGAGACGCTGATAAGTAGAATCAGGTATGTTGCTAGTGCAAGGCTGGAACGAAGTCCTACACGTTAGTTAGTGTAGGGCTGTACAAATAAAATAAATCCTGCACATATCCAGGAGGGTTGGTTGGTCACCCCTCTGCCCCAAACATCTCTCTTCTGATATAGATCCTTTTATGTTGCCAAAGTGCCTGAGTGCTCTATATAGATTGTTTGATGATCAGAAACAAAGTTGTAAACCATGAAAGAGTTTATTGCAGAATGAGCGACTTTAATTAATGTCTATCAACAGAAGCACTGCTGATTCAAACTGTGAAATCATCATCATCATCATCATCGTAATAATATTCTACTGCAATATGATGCTCAGAGGAATGTGTGTGCGCGTGCGCCTGCGTGACTGTTATACATGTTCTTTTATCATTCCATCTTTGTGTGTGTTTTTTTACATGTTTTATTATGATCGCTATAATCCATTAAAATAATGTTTTATCTGATTTTAAATGATTATCTTTCCTTGTATCGTAAACACTTTAGGGGTCAGGGTGTTTCTTAGTTTTTTATGAAAAGGTGTGTTGTGATGTTTTGTAGTAATGGCCATAAACTGGGTTGTGAAACTGCACTACAGTCACGCGGTCGAAAGGGGGGGTCTGCGTATTTGCGCATTCAACCACGGCTCCACTCTGCACACACGGTCGACTGAGATCTATTCGCAGAGCGAGCTGCAGTGAGAAGAAGCCTTGTCCTCCTGGGTTTTCGAGGTTCTGTTTGCGTCACCCTCCAAATCCGTTAACGGTGAACAATGTAGCAGCCGACGACGATTCATTACCGGGAGGACATTCATAACGAACTCACGGGACCGCTCGCAGAACGGACGTTAAATATCAGTTTCATTGGAGGTCATCTAAACCTGAAATCCCCTTTCTCCTTGGGATCTAGAAAAGCGGGTATTTGATTAGTGGATATTTGTCTGACAAATCTAACCGCAATGGAACGACATTTTTAGAGTGGTAGGCTATCTTTCTAATGGGTGGATGTCCGTTATTGTTCGATGAGATGTGAGATAGTTCTTGTCGTGATTTCTGCTGCAGTCCTGCAGTTTAGCCTACATCGGCTGTATAGGGAACAATAGCCTACAATCTGTGGGTGAATAATAGGTATTTGGTGGTGAAACCGCTAGGCTTCAAGTTCCCACATTGCAAAATGAGACTTGGTTACATTCACGCATAGCTTGGACCGGAATAGGGCATTATCTGTCGTCCTAGCTAAACGTTGGGAATGCGGTAATGGACAACAGGAATAATCCAATATAGCCTAACCACGCGTGGCTGGAATCAACGAACAGACCGGAGGGAACGAGAATGTTGGCGGCCCTGGAAATTGTAGCACCGTAAATCAATCAACGACCGACTCTGAGTAACCGAATGATTGCTGATTTGACTGTGGCGTCTGTGGATGGTATTCTACCCCAAAACAAACCGTCAATAACGGATAATCGATATTTGAATTGATGACGGAATCACATCAACGATAACAACCCACTCGGCGCATTACACTATTCCAAGTTCAGAAGAGAATCATAGCCTGTGCGTGGGCGTTGTTGACCGGAGGGGACACATCATATTTCGGGTTGACAGATTGGTAGTGACACCGGCAGGTCTGTGTGTGTGAGAAGAGGATGGCAGCGGTAGTAAACTACTCTCCCCCGTGGTGGGTCAACCTGCTCCACCGCCTCCCCCACTTCAACCTGCAGTTTGAGACGGTCAGCAGCGACTTCAGACCCGAGGACTCAGAGTACCAGAAGGTAGGTTTGGAACACAAACACCCAACACAAGTACACGGATGCATGCAGGCAGGCCACACACAATCCTGACAGAGAAGCACGTCCTATTCCCACAATCGCCAAGGCCTTGTTCAATCAAAACCGTTATCCAGATCTCCACTCACTAAGGCCTTGTTCAATCAAAACCGTTATCCAGATCTCCACTCACTAAGGCCTTGTTCAATCAAAACCGTTATCCAGATCTCCACTCACTAAAGCCCTATAGAGGGATCTACTACCCAAGGGGAAACATATGGTTGGTCCATCATACCATCCTAGGTAGTATTCCAACACTCAGACACTTCCTCATCTCCTATCCTTGTCTCATCTCCTATCCTCGTCTCCTCATCTCCTATCCTCGTCTCCTCATCTCCTGTCCTCGTCTCCTCATCTCGTCTCCTCGTCTCCTCATCTCCTATCATTGTCTCCTCATCTCCTATCCTTGTCTCCTCATCTCCTATCCTTGTCTCCTCATCTCCTATCCTTGTCTCCTCATCTCCTATCCTTGTCTCCTCATCTCCTATCCTTGTCTCCTCATCTCCTATCCTTGTCTCCTCATCTCATCCTGTCTCCTTTCCTTCATAATAACAAATTGATGCAGAAACAGTTCAACTCCATTACTACGTAATTAAAAAAACAATGACTATTGTAACTACGTCTTAACACATAGTGTTACTAGTGTTATTACACATGTAGGAGCATCGTCAGTGGGTTGTTTAGTGAAGAAGGGATGGATAGAGGAGGGAAAGAGAGGAGGAATGGTGATTTAGAGGAGGAGGGGTTACCAAGTGGTGAGTGTGGGAAGCTTCCTACAAAATGACAAAGAAGAGAGAGAGAGAGAGAATAAGGGGAGAAACCCAGGAAGAGAGAGAGAATAAGGGGAGAAACCCAGGAAGAGAGAGAGAGAGAATAAGGGGAGAAACCCAGGGAGAGAGAGAGAGAGAGAATAAGGGGAGAAACCCAGGGAGAGAGAGAGAGAGAGAATAAGGGGAGAAACCCAGGGAGAGAGAGAGAGAGAGAATAAGGGGAGAAACCCAGGGAGAGAGAGAGAGAGAGAATAAGGGGAGAAACCCAGGAAGAGAGAGAGAGAGAGATGTGCCATAGACCAGTCATTGAGTTCAGGACAGGTATAAATCATTGAGAGAGAGAAGAGAGAGAAGAGAGAGATGTGCCATAGACCAGTCATTGAGTTCAGGACAGGTATAAATCATTGAGAGAGAGAGAGAGGGGTGTGCCATAGACCAGTCATTGAGTTCAGGACAGGTATAAATCACTGAGAGAGAGAGAAGAGCGAGAGATGTGCCATAGACCAGTCATTGTCTATGTAGTAGACAACCATAGTCTGTCTACTACAACATCATAAAGCTTCTTTCAAAACAAGTCTTGTTAGTCTGCTGTAATTATAGCTGGTTTTGCTCCTACCTCCCAGCCCAACCCTGTCTCTGTCTCTCTCCTTCTCTCTCCTAAATCAGGACTCAACTGCTAAGTACCCATTTCCTCCAAACCCCATTTAGGGGGGACACTAAAACCCTGTGTGTGTGTGTGTATGTGTGGAGAGGAATTCTAAGGGCCCTAATTCAGACTAATTGCGTCCTGCTGTGTTTTGGTGCCTGGACTCTTTCTGTGTCACTGAGCTTTCACCATTGTGTGTGTACATACAAGTGTTCGCATGAATTTACAGTATGTGTCAAATGTTTTTGTGTCACTAGATATTTAGCTGTGTGTGTGTGTGTTTGTTTGGCCTGGTTGTTTGAGGTGAGGTCACAGCTAGCCCCTAAGGCGACACGTCTGTAGCTTGTTGTCAAGGCAAGGCGACTCGTCTCTAGGGCCCTATAGAATCCATGCTGCGGAGGACGGAATCACGGAATCCAGACATTAAAACGGTAAAATGTAAATATATTGAACAATATTCAAAAATGTATTGAAGAACTCAGTAGAAAATCAACTAAATGTATTGAACTTAGTAGGAAGCGCATTAATTTGCCCAAGTTAATCATAAGACATGAACAAAATGCATCAAGTCTGTATGTGTGCGCTTTTATCTACCACTATGTGTAGCCGTTAGCGGTGATGCTAATAACAACCACCTTCTGGTGGATGGAAAGGCTTTTCCCAAAAACCTTCTCAATTACATGTTAACTACAAAGTAGCCTATGCCTACCTGGCAGAATGATATCATGATTATTTGCATCAATCCAGTGGCCATTTGTTTTGCAAACTCTGCAATCACATGAGCGCTACAGAAACATTGCTAGCCAAACAACGGTCTCTGGCTGGTGCAGACCTCAAAAGTGGTCTCAGGGGGTCGCGTTAATGCAGAATTATGCGTTTTTCACTCAGAAAAGGAAAGTAAACGCATAAGAAAGATCTTGCTGAGTTTTGTAGATCTGAAATGTAGCTGGCTACATTCTTTCTATGATAAACATTAGAAATATGATGGCCATGTATTGTAAGCTCATTTACTTGTGTGGCTGCTAGCCAAATAGCGTTGCACTTCTGTTGTCATCTGATGAAAATGAAGCTATTTTCTGCTGAATGTGTTGCACTAATGTATTTTGTGTGAAGAACAACTATAGTTGCACACCTATTGATCACTCTATTGAAGTTAAAATCACTGTTGACTTTCAAAATGAAACTATACAAATGTATGAACTCTAATTTTTATTTATTTATTTTACCTTTATTTAACTAGGCAAGTCAGTTAAGAACAAATTCTTATTTACAATGACGGCCTACACCGGTCAAACCCGGACGACGCTGGGCCAATTGTGCGCCGCCCTATGGGACTCCCAATCACGGCCGGTTGTGATACAGCCTGGAACCGAACCAGGGTCTGTAGTGACGCCTCAAGCACTGAGATGCAGTGCCTTAGACCGCTGCGACACATGGGTCTCCTGATGTGGTTTAAACATTGTTGTGGACTTAGAACATCTAGTTTTGTTGTTTTCCTATTACAAATGTGTGATTCTGAGAGTGAAAACCTTTAAAAAAACGTGGAAAAACGGAAACGGAGAACTGAATTTGTATGTATGTGTAGAAGGCTATTCAATATGAGGTCACTGGTAGCCCTGGATGAGGGATAGATGCTCAGAGGGAGACAGTGAACAGGGAGAGAGATGAAGGGAGGGAGAGAGGGAACAGGGAGAGAGATGGAGGGAGAGAGGGAACAGGGAGAGAGAGAGGAGGGAGGGAGGAAAGGGGAAAAGAGGAGGGGAGGAGAGGGAAAAGGAGAGAGCAGGGAGGGAGAGAGGGAGGGAGGATGGAGGAGAGAGAGGAAAGGGGGTGGAGGGAGAGAGGGAAAGGGAGAGATGAAGGGAGGGAGAGAGGGAAAGGGGAGAGAGTGAAGGGGGAGAGAGGGAAAAGGAGAGATAGGAAGGAGGGAGAGAGGGAAAGAGATGGGGAGGGAGGGAGAGAGGGAACGGGAGAGAGATGAAGGGAGAGAGAGGGACAGGAGAGGAGGAGGGAGGAGGAACAGGGAGAGATGAGGGAGAAGGAGGGGGAAAGGGAGAGAGAGACAGGGAGGAGGGAGGGGAGAGAGGAAAAGGGAGAGAGATGAAGGGAGGGAGAGAGGGAACAGGGAGAGAGAGTAAGGGAGGGAGAGAGGGAAAGGGAGAGTGATAAAGGGGGGGGAGAGAGGGAACAGGGAGAGAGATGAAGGGAGGAGAGAGGGAACAGGGAGAGAGATGGAGGGAGAGAGAGAGGGAACAGGGAGAGAGATGAAGGGAGGGAGAGAGGGAACAGGGAGAGAGAGAGGGAGGAGAGAGGGAACAGGGAGAGAGAGGGGGGGGAGAGGGAACAGGGAGAGAGGGAACAGGGAGAGAGAGAAGGGAGGGAGAGAGGGAACAGGGAGAGAGAGGGAGGGGGGAGAGAGGGAACAGGGAGAGAGATGGAGGGGAGGGAGAGAGGGAACAGGGAGAGAGATGAAGGGAGGGAGAGAGGGAACAGGGAGAGAGGGAACAGGGAGAGAGGGAACTGAGAGCGGGAGGAAGTGGTGGTGG